TGAGGGTGAGTCTAGCCCTGCTCGCTAGAAAGCCCCCCCCCCTCGCTACGGGTCATGCCTACGCAAAACGAGGCAGCGAGGGGAAGTGTAGGTGAACTTCGAACGGACGGGCAAATGATTTATTTTTACAACTGCTGTCGATGTATCCAAAGTTCCAAAAATCCAACCTTCTCGAAATTCGGAAGTAAAGTAATCCACTTCACACATGCAAAGACATGTCGACAAGATGAAGGTCTTCTCTCTCGCTTTGTCATCCCGATCAGGCACCCCTCCTCCGATCACTCGTCCGCCAAGCCCTCCACTCTCGCTGCCCTCCATCAGACCCGTAGTTCGCTAGTCTTGGGCTGCGCTTACTGCCGATAGAACAGCACTCAATAGCGGAAAATCTTTTTTTGCAGTTTTATATATATTTATTTTTGTCAACGATTGATTATTCACGAAAAACTCGCCGGTGCCGCACTGCTGTGTGCCGCACTTGGCTCGCATTCCGATTTAATCAGTCGACCTGAGCACACCCTCCTCCTACCACTCGTCTACCACGTCCTCTTTCGCTACCGCCTTCTCGTCATGTAGTCTTCGACTTCACTCTACATGTAGGTCTGGTCTTCGACTCATAGATACCATTTCTTCTCATTTCCTGCTGCGATGGACAACAAGTACGGTACGGACGCACAGAGCAAAACTGCTCAAACTAGAAGTAGTTAGTTGTAGCTCTCTTTGATCTGCGTCTGTCTCTACATCAGTACACGTGCCCATCACTCCTCCACCAACTCCCCACTACTCCCACTACATCGACGGTGTTCGGATTCATTCTGTACTCTTCGACTCAACGCTTGGTCTCCCGAAGCGCTGTTGCTGCTGCTGCAGTCATGGCATTTTGTTGGTGAATGGTGAATGCACCGGTATCTGTGCGGTAGATCTCGTAAATTTTTTTGGTTCCGATTCTCCGCCTCCAAACCTCACCTCTCTCGTGGCCTTTCCTTATTGGGCCTTTCCGTCTCCTCTCTCGTGGCCACTCTTACTTCCGTCTCCCCACTCACCGTTGGACTCCTCTTACACTCTCCAACAGAATCGATGGGAAAATCATTCTTCTTTCTCGTGGTCCGCGTTTTGCGCCGTCCCTCCTCGCCGGCGGACCAACCTCGTGCCATTTGACAGTTTCGGACCCCAAAAAAAGCTGAAATTAGGAATTATATTTTGAGATAAGCCATCGTTCCCAGGATCGTTCCCTGACAGTCTCGCCAGAAGGAAAAAATATGTAGATGTTAGAGCCGAGCGAGGCTCGTTTTGTGGAAAGTTTTGGGAAAACTATTTAAGCAACTTTCTTCGAAACAACACACCCACACCAGCCACCACCACCACACAAGACCCACACGCACACACAGCAGTCTGCTACGAACATGTCCAGCACCCGCCCAAAGAGAAAGACAACGCCCAGCGCAAAGGCCCTGGATCTAGCGCGCGACGAGGTTGGCAAGAGGGAGGCGGCACGGGCAGCCGGTCAGTTGGGCTTTGCGGCTCTAGGCCAGCAGCACGCCCGAGACCTCGAGGCAGGGGGAGGAGAGGAGCAAGCGGCCGGGGGAGGCGGCGACGATGTCCAAGTCGTGGCACCAGCAGCAGAGCAGGCTAGGGCTAGGAAGAGCACGAAGTGGCCTCCTACTTACGACTTGGCGCTGGCAAGGGCGGGTGAGTCTTTCCCCGCGCAAGGGTATGCTCTGTTTTTCTAGAGAGAGGCGTTTGTTGGCTTGGATGTGTTCCCTCCCCAAACCCCACCCCCATACGCTCCGAACGCGACACAGCACTGCAGGAGCAGCCGGCCACAGCAGTGGTATACGTACTTGCTGTCTCCGTACTGATGCGATTTCCTGTGCTGGAGTTAGTTGTTTCCTTTGCTGGGATTGAGGGAGCGACCCATGTGCGCGCACACATATGCACGCTGTTTTTGAACTGTAAAAGGGAGCCACTCCGAACCAGATTGTTGATCCTTGGCAACGAGGGTGCAACGAGTGCACAACATATACGAAAGATTCAATCGGATAGCAGCGGAGTAGGGTAGGAACACAAAGCTGTATTCGGTGTTCGCAGGGGAGATACAAGTCTTGCTTGGCGAAGAAGGTGATACTTTCTTGCACTGGTTCCGACGTGGAAAAAATGCACNTCGCTACACAACGGCACATAGCCGGATTATTATGGTGGGCGCGGATCCGCTGCTGCGTCCCACAGGAGATGCAGTCTACCCGTGGCACATCATGTTGCATCATATTACAAGGGGTTACCAGCAGCGAGACTTATCCTGCATCCCGCTGTAGCCACAGTAGATGCTGTCTACCCGAAAGAATGTCGAAACAACTACTGCGAAGCACCGCGGACCCGGTGCAGTTGACACTCTGCGCAATAGCCATTCCGTGCGCTGCAAGACGGCCGGTGTTCACGGACTCGTTTAGTGGCGAGACCTATGCTCCCTCCTCTACTCAAAACGCACATGTATCTGGTGAAAACAATGAAGCCGAAGCAAGTCCCCACTACGACATTCAAAGGTGCTCCTACCCTTGTCCTCTACAGGTCTGCAGAACGAAGTGTGGAAAGTGAATGGGAGCGGGCGTTCGGTCGGCGAAAGGTGGGACACCTGCTGGAAGACTCTCAACCAGGAGCCCTTGGTCAGGATGTTCGAGGATAAGACGTCCAAAAATTGCAAGTCGCGCTACGACAAGATCGTTGACGACCAGAGCAAGAGCGATGGTAAAGCCCTGCCGGACTCCGGAGCCGGCACTGCTGAGAGTGGCTCGGAGGGCGAAGTAGAGAAGAATACCAAGGTCCAGCTGGTGAGGGGTCTAGAGCCAGTAAGCTATCTCTACCTTTTGTGACGGGCGCAAGCCTGAGTGTACACGATCATGGCACAGTCTAAACAAGACGGGCACGAATATCTGCACATGGAGAATCCACAATCCATAGAGTATCGTGAAACACCTGCGCTGTCCCGACCGAAGAAAATGCTTGCCGTCGTCACCAACGTTGCACTTGCAGATAAGAGGGGTACGCACAGGGTTAGCCGTAAGTCCAAAATGCGCAGCATGACAAAAGAAAGACAGAAGTAGATAGACAGCACGAAAGCCCGAGTGCTACACGCCAGGCGACGCAAAACGTGCAGAGAGTTAGCTTGCTGAGACGGTCCTTCACCCACAAAATCAAAACAGCGTCGAGGTTTTCACTCCCACTCTGTATTGTTTAGGGGCGTAACGTAGCAGTGTTGACACGGAAGTACAAAACAGACGATGCATACAGCTATCGCCGACGCTAGTGTTGCAATTTGTAAGTCGTAGAGCTGACGAGCTGCCGCGCCGCTGTTGCTTCTTGTCCGCGATGTGCCGCACAGGACAAAGTTCTGACCGCGAGAGTGGACGCGAAGGCTGCCGCAAGGCAGGACTCGGAGGAGACCAAGCAGAAGAAAGCTGACGAGGCGGCCTCGCACTCCGCGATGGGGATGTGGGCCATCAACGCCCGATGCGGGCCGGGCGCGAAGGCTACATCATTCCAAGAAGCTGTTGCCGCCGACAACATCGCGTTGGGTTCCCGATCCGGTGCAGCGGCCGGTGGCCGTGCCAGCGGTCGGGTGAGTCCGGCCAGCAGCATCGGGGGGGCGAGGCCCGCGTCGGAGGCTTCGGCGGGTGGCGCTGCCAGCGGTCGATCGAGCCTGACCATGAGTACGGGCGGGCTAGACGACGACTTATCGCCCGCGGGGAGCGGGCCATCGAGGAAGGTTCCACCGCTTGGCGAATTGGTGGAGCTCATGGGGTCGCTGAGCATTCCGACGCTTGCGCAAAGTGCCGGGGTCACCACGGAGGAGGCGGACTACTTCCTCAACACGGGCTTCACGGCCGACGAAGTTCAGCCGGAAAGGGCCGTGGCCATGGTGACGGTACTACTCGACAATAGGCTAGTCTCCAGCGCGACGGAGACAGCGTCCAGGACTACATGGATGATCTTGGTGAACAGGATATGCAGCTGCCCGGGTTTGATAGGTTTGACGAGTCGGTCATGTTTAAACTGCTCGAGCTCTACGGCGTGGAAGTGATGGACTTGCGCAGCCTGCCGGAATCGAATTGGTTTCACAGCGGATGGCCCATAGAACGTGTTACGCCGGACAAGGTGCTTCAGGTTACGAAGCGGGTGGC